CGAAATAAGAAGCTTTATGGAAGAGGGGCAGGTGGCCTCCCAGGCCAGCCCCAAAGGGAAGCCCCCAGGGGCTGATTCAGCCCCAACGGGGGGGCCTCCCAGGGGCTGATACCATGCTTAAGTCCATCCGCATTCTCTTATCTATTGCGGCTGCTCTCGATTACGAGATCTGGCAAATGGATGTCAAGACGGCGTTCTTGAACGGCCATCTTGAAGAAAGTATCTATATGGTACAACCAGAAGGCTTTGGGGCGAAGGGTCAAGAGGGAAAAGTTTGCAAGTTGCTGAAATCCATTTATGGATTAAAGCAAGCTTCCCGTTCTTGGAACAAAAGATTTGACCAAGTGGTCAAGACTTTTGGATTCCAACAGAATATGGATGAACCTTGTGTTTATAAGCATATTCAAGATGGGAAAGTGGTTTTTCTACTGTTATATGTTGATGATATTCTACTCATTGGCAACGATGTAGGGGCTTTATCATCAGTCAAAGTTTGGCTTACCAAACAGTTTGACATGAAGGACTTAGGAGAAGCTAATTATGTTCTGGGCATTCGAATCATAAGAGATCGAAAGAACAAAATGATAGCTCTCTCTCAGGCTTCATACATAGATAAAATTCTCGAGAAGTATGCAATGCAGAATTCCAAGAAAGGTGGGCAACCATCTAGGTCTGGAATTACTCTTTTGAACAGTGATTGTCCCAAGACATCTGAAGAAAGAGAATACATAGCGAAGGTGCCTTATGCTTCGGCGGTCGGGAGCCTCATGTACGCAATGCTTTGTACTCGACTGGACATTTGCCATGCAGTCGGGATTGTAAGTCGATTTCAGTCGAATCCAGGACCTAACCACTGGGTTGCGGTCAAGCATGTATTCAAGTATCTTCGGAGGACTAGAAACTATATGCTGGTATATTCCGGGGAGGATTTGACACCTCTAGGATATACAGATTCAGATTTTCAATCCTGTTTGGATTCTAGGAAATCGACTTTGGGTTCTGTGTTTACTCTGGGAGGTGGTTCCATCGTTTGGAGGAGTGTCAAGCAAACTTGCACTTCTGACTCAATGATGGAAGCCGAGTATGTGGCAGCTAGTGATGCTTCAAAAGAAGTAGTGTGGCTCCCTAAATTTTTGATGGATCTTGAAGTTGTTCCTGGTGTGGATAAGCCATTGAGACTATACTGTGATAACAGTGCGGCAATAGCTAACACCAAAGAACCAAGATATCAGAAAATGAGTAAGCACATAGACAGGAAGTATCACGTAATAAGAAGCTTTATTGAAGAAGGGCATGTGGCCTCCCAGGCCAGCCCCAAAGGGAAGCCCCCAGGGGCTGATTCAGCCCCAACGGGGGGGCCTCCCAGGGGCTGATACAGCCCCAATGGGAGGCCCCCAAGGGCTGTATCAGCCCCAACGGGGGCCTCCAGGGGAAAAACAAAAAAAAAAAGGGAAAAAACCAGATCAGATCAAGCATAGGATAGAAAACAAACACCAAATCAAACGGAAAACAACAACTACTTTGGTTGAATAAGCAAATCAAACGGCGAGACAACCGGAAAAGAAAAATAAAAATAATAAAAAAACAAATTGCTCGACCAAATCGATCGGAAAAATCAAACACGTTCAAATATTTTTGGCTAGGGGCATACCTCGGTGAGAAAACAGAGAACGGCGCAGATTGGGCAACAAGAGACCGGAGGAGCTCAGGCGAACGGAGGTGCTCCGGTGAGAAGCAAATGGCGCGACTCTTGGGCGAGAAGAACGCCGGGGCTCAGCCGGGAAGAAGATCTCGACTGAAGAACGGAAGGGAAGGAGGAAGAAGAGCTCGGCTGAAGGGGAAGAAAAAATCGGAAGAAGTAGAAATGGGAGGATGATCGAGGAAGAAAGAAGAAGAAGAAACCGAAAATGAAAACAAGAAAACGAAAACGGCTTTTTTCCGTTTTTAAAATTCCGGAAAACGACAAAGCCATTTTCATTTTTGTTTTCTGACACAAATTTTGCCAAACACGTTTTTCATCTCCGTTTTCAATTTTTTGCATCGAAAAATGTGAGAAACGAAAATGGAAATGCTACCAAACAGGCCCTTGGTTTTTCTAATAAGCAATACAAGTGTTAAAATAATGTTCATGATGCCTTAATAAAACTTTGGTACGAGTTTTAAAGTTTATTCGTAAGTGTTTTTTGTAGTAACAATAATTTATGGCTTTGATTGAAAACTTTTTTAAAAAGTCGAAGCATTTCTGACAGATCATCTAAACACTTTTAGAAATAAAATCGCTTTTAAGAAGCTCTCGAAACAGGCCCTTAGTTGCATATCTAACCAATCTTGGATTTTTTGTGTACATTCCCAATGTGAGGCATGGGAGGACAGTATGTGGTTTAATGGAGGTTAATTTTGTAACTTTAACAAATTAGGGGATGATGATCAAGAAGGAAATCATGAATAGAATGCAATTTCATATAGTATAGAATTATGCCATAATAAATCGAGTTTGAGTTATGTTACTCTCCTATTATTCTTTTGTAGAGAAAATTACGTAATGTGCCACCAAAATCCAATAACTTCTTATATTTATGTTATTGTTGTTGATTTAAAAAAGAATATTCCGATAGAATATTAAAAATATCATACGAAGATATTCTAACTATCTTTGTTAGGAAGAGAAAACAATCTTATAGGATATTAAAATAAAAGATATTTTCAAGTGGGTTAAATAACATAAATATTAAATTTATTTGAATTGGATGACATAGATGTAAAAATAGAATATTTTGAGGGGCATTTGTGTGTTTCACTCAAATTTGAGAGGTGTTATTTATAATATCAAATTGAATAGTAAGGTGAAAATGGTGTCGTTTTGTTCGGGATACATCATAGAAGTGAAGGACACCAATGTGTTGATTGGGAAGTCGTAGAGAGGGAGATGCAAAAAAGTGGGGGCCAAAGGCTTGCTTTTCTTATATTTCCTTTGAATTGTCAGTTTCACTCTCTACGGTCTACACCAAGGAGGAATTCTGAATTATAGAGAGAGAGAGAGAGTCTTTAGAGAGAGAGAGAGAGAGATGGAAGAAGCAAAGGCAATGGCGGCCCAACAGCAGCAGCAGCAATTGATGTATCAGCAATCTCAACAACAACAACAACACATGATGCTTCTCCAACAACAACTCCACAAACAACAACAGCAGCAACAACAGCAGCAACAACAACAACAACAACAACAACAACAGGCCGCCGCCGCCGCCGCCGCCATTTCTCGATTCCCGTCGAACATCGACGCCCACTTGCGGCCCCTTCGTCCCCCCTCTTCCATAAATCTCCCTCAAAACCCTAATAATAATAATCCTAGTAATAACAGTAATAATATTCCTAATAATCAAAATCAACGGCAACAGCAGAAGGCGATCCGACCCGGAAACCAAGCGGAGCTCCAGATGGCCTACCAGGATGCCTGGCGCGTCTGCCATCCCGACTTTAAGCGTCCCTTCTCCTCTCTTCAGGACGCCTGCGAGAGGTTTTTTCTTTCTTTATTTCTTTTTCTTTCTTTATATATATATCCAATTCGTAAATACCAAAACTTGGACTTTGGATGGATTATGCAAATTCTCGACTTGGGTTTGCTTGCTTGCGGACCGCTGTTAAGCTTCTCGTTCATCATCATCATATGTTTTCTTTTGTTTTTTTGTTTTTTTGTTTTTTTCATTTTCCATTTATTTCTTCTTGGATTAAACTTCACATTCTTACATTGATATAACTATATGGCTTCCTTTTACTCCAACTCCAGTCTTCTCCACTGATTAATGATTATATGCCAATTTCTCGTAGGTTTAACTTGTTTTGTCCTGTCACATTCCACAACATTGTCAAACTAAACTTGTGTTTGTGTTTTCACGATGACTCTACTCTAGTCTCTATCAAAACATGTTTGTTTTGTGCCTATTTCTTCGGTTATGAATTCCAGCATCTTCACATGAGAACTGGGATTTCATACTCCCCACTCCTTGCCTTGCTCGCCTTAATCTTCTGTTCTGTATACTTTACTTTGAAAGGAAAGGAGGATTATTGATACACATTCAAGTTTCTTATTGATCGATTGATACTACTGACTGACTACTGGGGTCCGCCCAAATTCCAATTCTCTTTTGTGCAGGCTATTGCCTTATCATGTCGTGGCTGATTACGAGGCCGAGGAAGACGATAGGATCCTCGACTCTGATACAACAGGCCAAATGCCTTCTCGCTCACAACAATGGGATCACAACATATCCGCCAAGGTTGCAGAGTTCACGGCCACTTTTGAGAAGCAGGCTCTCGCCTTCAACATTATCTCCCGCAAACGGGCTGTCGGGGAGTTCAGGTCCGAGGAGAGAATGATGATCGAGCAAGCTCTGTGCCAAGAGGAGAAGCGTGCCTACCTGGAATTCAAAACAGAGCTGGAATCAAGAGAGAAAGCCGGCCGGGAGGCTCACGAAGCTAAAATGCGTATGCAAGCCTTTGTTCAGGCAGAGCATGTCAGGGCCGAGTCACAAGCACACGCTGAAGTGATGCCTCGAGGCCCCATAAGGGCAAGTGCGCTTGGTTCGCAAGGCAATGACATGTCGATTGGCCAGAACATGGGTGAGCAGGAGCACGGAGTCAATGCTGACGAGATGATAAATGGATGGGGAAACAATACTCAGAGAGATGAGAAGGAGCCTTCTGAAGATTTTTTGAATGACGAGGAGACCGAAAACGGAGAAACAGGCATGCAAGATGGATGGCGCGAAGTCGGGGAGTTTGATTTAAACACTAGATGAACTGTGGAAGGCAAACATAAGCGCACATGAGGAGGGGAAAGGAAGCAATTTCCATGGTAAACTGGTTCAATCAATCCGGCATGGACTTTGTAAGGTCACATTGCAAACCAAACAAAAAAGAGAAATGATTTTCGCTTGAAAGATGGGTTCCTACTTCCTTCGACCAGACGTAGACGTATGGTGCTGCTATTCTTAATGGATTGGATGGTACATATGATATGATGTTTCCGAATTTATGACTTTTGGTCATGGCGTTGGTTGTTAGGTACTAGATTTTCTGTACTTGTTGCTTTGTAAAATTGGCTGCATGGCACTGGATTGTTATTATGTTACCATCAACAAAGTCGGATATTTGAATTTGATTTTGTGTCGTCTTAGGGTGCTGATTCTGATTATTTTACCATGGACGGAATATTTTATGACCTTCCTATTTTTCATTCTTTTTTCTTTCTTAAATTGCAGATTCTGTGACGAATTTTAAAAGCTCGATAAAATAATAATAATAATAATAATATTAAGCAGACTATCTACTCATCCCATCCGGAGCAGAGGATGTATTTTATTTTCTTCTTTAAAATGAGTTAAAATGATATAGAAGGTGGCGTATTCAAATATATGTGTGTGTGTGTGTATAATATATATATATATATATATATATATATATATATATACACACACGCGCGCAATAGGCAATTAGGCATTGCCCTTATTTTGTAGTGAGACTTATTCGAATCAAGTCCTACTCGAGGATAACAAAGTCTGTTGTTCCATCAAATAATAGGGGTTGATTCTAATTTCTTTCTTACATTATCACAGTGAGAAATGAGTCTGAATTTTTACCTGTTATTCTTGATTAATATCTTTTTTAATCAAATAATTATATTAATTGAAAATGTATTAATTAAAAACAAAGAGTAAAAATCCAAACCCATATACTCTTAAAGAACAAGTTACAGCAATTTTCCCTATCAAAAAAACCAATTCTTCCTGGTCGTTTTTTTTCTTTTTTTTTTTTTCACTACATGTAGATTGTAGAACAAACAATTCCTGAAAGCAAAAATGCCAGCACGATCGAAGAAAATCAAAAGGCAAGCCTTTTACTCGTATTCAAACCTTAAAATCTCTCACTGGAGTCCACGCTCAGCAGTCAGCACGCCATCCAACAGAAAATATATATAACCAAACAATTAATAAGCTAAACTACGTATTTCACGGAAAAGAAAAAGGAAGATGATTGAAGATTCTGGACAATTTGGAATCTTAAATCAGAGGAAACAACCAAAGAATACACAAAACTTGAGTGAGTGCCTACAAAATGCTAGGGAGCTGTGAATCCAGTCTCTGCTGCAACTCCTTAATCGTCACTGACAGCTCGGCCTTCTGCTCTTTGTAGTTCTGCAACAAGTAGTCCTTCCCTTCTATTACCTCCTTCAATTCTAACACGTTCCTCTTAAGCATCTCAATCCTCTCACCCTCCGCTCTGCCCTTTTCCGGTGTCTCAAAATTGCTTTCCCCTTCATGATAACCATTGGCATGACCATTCATGCCCTCGCGCTCCAACGGCCAACTCGGGACTGTGGTGGACTTGTCATTGGAGTGTGCCACACAGTGGTCTGCTATAGCCTTCCGAAGTCTCTGGATTTCTCTCTCTGAATCAAACAAGTCCCTGTTAGCAGCATCAAGCTGCGACTGCAAATGGGAGGAACGTGCCAGCTGGGCATTGAGTGAACTCTGCAACTCCACAATCTGATCTTGCATCTCCAATATCATGTCATCCCTTCTCTTCAATTGCTGCCTCAGTTTGTGTATTACTTCCCGCTTACTGAAGACATCAGAGCCAGATTCAGAAACACATGGTGAATCTGAGCAGTTTGAATGGTGGTTAAACGGCTTCGGAGGCAACTCAAGCCGATCAGGAGAAGACGCCCAGATCACACCATTCTCCTTGTTAAACTCGGAGGCTGGAACTGTTACCAAGGGCATAGCACCATCTGATTCAGACAACATCTGGCCATCTGGTTGGCATGTAATGTCCATAGCAACTCCCGCACCTATTTCAAGTGCGTTAGTCAAGTTTAGCACTCCAAAACCAAATGTAGCAAACATAAATTATTACAAGGCACCATACAGTAGTAAATTGATCCATCAATCGGCCAAAGTGATACTGAGCAGCAAGGGAGAAAGGAAAAAGAAGCAAAAAAGTTTTAGCAATGTCCAAATAAACAAGATCTCCAATAAGACGGCCATATTGAACCAAAAATTTTACTAATTCAAGTCGACATGACATCTGGTTTCCATGGCAACCAATAGATTATGCCTATTTTGGAAAGGAATTCAAGAAACGAAGATGATCAGTTTCCTAGGGGAAACATAAATGGCCTGCCAAGGGGGTAACCAATTGAAAAACAACTCATATTTTCTCCACAATTTTTTTCATTAGCGTTTATTTTCTGTAAGCTTTGCCTGAGATATAACAATAATACTATTTTCCTTCCTTAAGATAGAGAGAGAGAATCATGTAAAGGCCGCAAATGAAATCAGATAAAGTCAATGCTACATCACTAGCAACAAATCCCGCGTCATATAGTGTTGTTAACGTTGACATAAATATATTAAACAATGTTGCATGTCCTACAGTTATGCCTAACCGTATTTTAGTCATTGCCTTTCAGGAACAGAAGTCATTTCTCGTGATTTGAGTAAACCGTAAAACCGTAAAACTCTAATATGATTGTAGAGGTCAAAGCGAAGCATTCAAAGCCTCTAGATTTGTCGCAAAAACATAAGTTAAATTCCTCATAACTTTGCAACCTCAAACATCACCGTAAAACCGTAAAACTCTAATATGATTGTAGAGGTCAAAGCGAAGCATTCAAAGCCTCTAGATTCGTCGCAAAAACATAAGTTAAATTCCTCATAACTTTGCAACCTCAAACATCCAAAAGAAATGAAAGCAGCAATATCAAACAACAACCAAGGTAATTATCAAGTGCAGAACTTTTACGCGTACTTTTGCCTTTCTTGAAATGAAGACAAAAACTTAAAACATGAGTCAAAGCAAATTAATTATACATGCTTAAATAGAATGTTTTAAAAAATCTTTAAACGAAATTGAAGGAGTCTTCCCATACAAAAAGATATTCTCAACTGAGGAGCCTTAATTCATTAAAAGATGAACAGAGAAGCGACTTTTGAAATCTCTGTATTATAACTTCCTACAACACCTCCATGTCCATCTAATGAAAAGGGCATCACGCAATCAACCCAAACAATAGCCACAACTTCTTAGGGAAAAGAATACACTTAAACTAATGTTTTTAACAATCCTATATTTCAGAGAGACAATATCACAATAAGTCAAACCTGACAAGCAATTAAAACAAGTGCCATCATCTTCTGCGAAGGAATAAACATTGGAGTGCGTGCGACACCCAGCAGACTTCCTTCTGTCCGAAAATTTTCCATTTCCTAATATCACAAACAAAAATAGATCGAAAAGGTTAGAAGCACGAATTCTGGAAAGACAACCTGTCCACGTACACATTGCAGACCTTTTGAACCATTGTTGACATTCTCCTGCTGCTTCGTGTCAATAGCCTGCTTCAGCTTGTAACCAAGACGAATCGATAACGTACTTAGCAACGCACCACCAGCAATAAGTATCCAATTTGGCCCGCCCTCGCCCTGAAGCAATTTAGGCTTCTGAGCTCTGGGAGTTCCGGTTGTTTTGGGTTTCATTTCAGTAGCTAACAAATTGCCGAAGAGAAAAATGTTGAATCATCCGGCATCAACTACGCACCATAGCTCCATTGCAATCTACATGCCCGACATATTAGGAAAAACTGCATGAATGAATAGTGAGAAAGTTCAATTGCTTTATATAGTATGGCAATAACAACGCATTTTGCAAACCAATGATCAAATGCACAGGAGAAACGAAAAAAGTTTGATCAATTCTAAGATGTCGTCATAAGATAGTAAACGAAATGCCTAAAGTGAAGAACTGAAAGGGACAATATTCCAGTTTCAAGTTCCGCCAAAGAAAATCCTCTAAACCGCAAAAGAAACTCAACAAGATTATGAAGGACTAAAGTTTATGGTAATTCTTCAACGGAACCTATTGGCAACGGTATGAAGCAGGAAAACATAAAAGTCCAGATACACATAATTGAGCCAAAAAAAAAAAAAACAAATTTCTTTACAATAAAAAAAAAGGGGGAAAGTGGAACAAAATTACATATCTATAGTTAAAATCAAAGGGACAGTAATTACGTCATGGAATCGCCAAATGAAATGAATCAAGGCTTTGGGAAAATGCAGGTTAAGTGTGGATAAAACCCTAGACTGTTTTGATTAGTTAGTTAAAATAGCTCAGTATTCATTTATAGCTATAAGCAGCTCCATACTTTCGTTTTGCCTTGACTTTCTTTATAGAGTTGGGAAAGGCAAAGGCAATCTCCTCTGGTAATTTCATTTGAGAAAAGGAAAAGGAGAAGAAGAAGAAGAAGAAAATCAGAATAATCGAAATCCATAGACGCAACAAGTTAAAAGAAGAAATTGAATGCGAAGAAGAAGAAGGAGGAGGAGGAGTACGTACATGGAGATGGATCGTTGATATTGAGGAAAGCCCCGTCCCGTCCGCCCCCCAAAATCAAAATCCAAATGGTTGTTTGTTTGGTTGGTTTAATTAGGGTTCGTTCCTTCTTCTTTTCAATCTCATAAAAACAAAAACAAAAACAAAAATCTCCAAAATCTCTCACCCGAGCCGATAGTTCCTCTTTATTTATTTATTTATTTTTCTTTTGTTATACTTACTTTATTATATTATATATAAATCTCTACTTGTTTTCTTCTTCTTTTTTCTGCTCCATTTATGGATTAACGCGAGTGAGAGAGAGAGTCGGACTTCTGAATTTCTGATTCTCTCTCCTTTACATATGCCAATGCTATGGCGGCTTTTTGAATTTCTGATTGTTATTTATTATTTTCTGCTTTTATTTTGTCCAAAATTACTATTATTATTTAATAATCAAATGAAACTTCTTATATTTCCCTAAAAAAAAAAAAAAAGAAGTAAATTATTGCAACTTTCTTTTTTATTTTTTTTTATTTTATAGAAATTATAATTGTTGTTGTCCTCCTTTTCTTTTAAGGATATTGTCTCTTTTTATGTAACATAACCTTAAAATTAGCATACGAAAAAAATAATACTATTTTGATAGAGTAAAGTTTTGAACTGTTAACTTTTTACAGGTCAAGTTTCGTCGATTTTATGTATTTTGTAATTTGATAATTCAAAACTAAATAACTTAGTACCACTTTTTATTTTTCATTACGAAATTATTCCCATGTAAATTAAATAATGTTTCTTAAAAAGTAAACAAAGTGAAATAATTAATAATGTGTGGCGACTTTTTTTTTATTTTTTATTTTTTATTTTTTATTTTTTATTTTTTATTTTTACTTAGTGGTTCGGTTGGGCCCCAGGCAGGATGGCCTTTTTTGTTTTTGGGGTTACATAGCTTTGAGATCCCATATCCACCCGTCAACGGCGATCTCATTAGAGAGGCTGGTTTCCAGTCTCATTCCTGTTTTTCCATTTTTCTGTTTTATATATATATACACACACACAAATAGATAGATATGGATGCTTGCTTGCTGCCTGCTGTGTCGTTTTTGTTGAATTAATGCTCTCTTCTTCATCTGTTATTATTATTATTTATTATTATTTGTTTCTAGGATTATGTGTGTATATATATATATATATATATAAATACTGAAAGCGAAAGCGTGTTGGGGTTGTGGGGTTCAGGTTGTGAAGTATTTATTATGGGCTTTTCATTCTTATGTTCATGTTTTCTCCCTCACGAGTCATTCCCTATTTTTTGTCAGTTGTCATGGCTACTACCCTACTCCTTTCCTTCTCGTGATAACCTTACTACATAATTCTGCTTATGTTTTTTATTTTCTCCTTTTATTTTCTTAGAGTTGGCGTTGCGTGTTTTGAAAATTCAAATCAGATAAAATGTAATTATTCAAAGCAATTTTGTATGGGTAGGGTATTTTTTAGTACCCACCAAAAAGTTGTCCTTATTTTATTTTTTTTTTCTTTCTTTGTACCTACAGGTGTTAAAAAGGCACAATGAATTAGTTTGATAGCACTGTAAATTTAAAAAAAAATTATTTTTAACTGTGTTGAAAGAAAAAATAGTTGTTATAAAAAGTAGTTGAGTATTTAATAAATTATAATTATACTAGTTGTGCTAGTTCTAAAATTAATATAATAACGTTTAGTAAATTGTGAGGTTAAATTACTGTGAGTAGTTAAAATGATTAAAATAGACGTGATATGAAATTTAAATATATATAATTAATTTTAGTATTTAGAAATACTTGTTTAACTTTAAAAAAAAAATCATAATGCTATGATTTTGAGTTTTCTAACAATAAATCTATGATAATTAATTCTTTTTTTTTTTTTTTCATTCTTCATTCAAAATATAATTACAACAACAAAAAAATAACATTAATGAGTAATCAACATATACAACAAAAATGTACATTCCATGCTAAAAAACTAATAGAGGCATGAAAAGAATTAAGTTGTGTTCATTATTCAACAGACAAAATAAAATAAAATTAATATGGTTGTTGGCACATATAATACGGTTGATATTTTCCAAGAGAATTCATGCCTTCCAGGCCAAAGATATATCATTCATATTAAACGTACAATATGTACTATTAAGACTGATGTTATCAAACAAAATAATAGACACCTGCAGATTGGAAATGATCAAAGTTTGGATTGAATCAAAATTTTCTCAAATCGGGATGGGAAAAGCTTTGAATTTTCTTCCCCTTTAGTTTTGTATGTATCTTGGCGTTGAATTTGTATTTCAGATTTGTCATTTGGAAATTTGTAGTGTTAAATGCGAATCTTGTTCTATTTCCTCGTGTCAAATCTTTCATAGTGGTGTGTTGATTAACCCAACCAACTTCTAACAAAAACAACATGAGGTAAACATTCACATTTAATAGTCTCAAATTATATATCAACCAAGTAGGCAAAGACACATTAGTCATATTTACTTTTTGATGTTACTCTTTAGCCTGATTTCAAATTGAAAGTTGAGAAATGGGCCTTCACATTTCTCCTTGTGGACAAAGGTAGAAAAAGCCTAATTGAGAAGTGAGATAAATCTTAAGAAAAAGGTAAAAGCAAAATAGAAAAATCTGGGAGAAACTTACACATACTATCAATTTTTTTTTTTTCTTTCTATCTTTCACATTTATGCCAACTCAAAATATAAGCTTGTACCACTTAACGTTATTTTTTAATTCGCATGTTTTTTTTATTATGCCACTTTGATGGCATAAATGTTAGTACTGTGTTGAGTGGTATTTTTTGTTCTTGAGAAGTGTCTCTTTTAGTTTTAAAGACAAAAAGATAAGATTTATGCCCTTCCTTTCATATATTAACTTAAGAGTGACACAATTCTAGTAAGCTGTAAAAGGATGCAAAACTATAGAAGCGAGATAGATTTCTCAGAGTCATCTGCAAAATAAAGATAATAATCCAAACAGTACATCAATCACTTTCTTAGATTTCCATCACGTGTGTGTATATGCATAAAAAAAATAAAAACACTTGGAGATGGCAACGAGCATAGCAAGATTCATCAGATGAAGTCGTATCAAGTGCCACTTGACGAGTTTTTTTTTTTTTGTCACTATCATAGTTGAAACACCATAGTATGATGTTATTAGACAATGACCTTCACAAAGAAACAACATAGATAGACTAATGACACATTTGGTTCATAAGTTTGAAAATTAAATTTTGTGAACTGTAGCAAAAAGGTTTAGTTTGAACTTATGAAACAAGCAGGGGCTAAAAATGTGCATCATGGAAATTAATGATGGGACATTAGTCTTATTATTCATATCTGAACATCACAAACTCATAAGCCCTTCTGGAAATTACAAACAAATCATGTTTGCCTATGATTGAAGATAAAAAATCACTAAGATGTAATACTACTTGCCCAACTCCACTCTTGAAGAGGCTTTATTGATGAGGCTTTCGGCATGTAATAATGGCAAACTTAATTAGGTCCTTCTTGTATCCTTCTATCATCAACGGCATTGCCAAGGCTCCTCTTATTGTCTTCCGTCCTGACCAAGACAACAATCACAATTAGTAAGTAAGTTTTAACTTTAAAAACTGGAAAACAAGTTTGATGAAAAAAAAAAGAAGAGAGAGAGAGAGCAGTGGATGAAGGCGTTTCATGTTTGAGAGTGAAGACAAGTCCATTACAAAAGAAGATCTTAATTAAATGAACACTACAATTATAATCCATCACCACCACAGGGATGAGGGAACATATCGACTATATATACATAACAATTTCTTTTTGGCTCTAAATTAGATTGAAAATGAAGATGTTGAGAGATTTACCGGCGCGCAAAAGAGAGGTGAGGCCCTTCCATGTGAGAGCGGAGCGTATGACGGCCGGCCAAAAGGGAGCAACATACTGAGACCAATCTGCTGCCTTGATGTCCTGCCAAACAGAAGACAATAAAAGCAAAGCAAATAAGCAATATTTATAGATTGGTAGCAAAAAGAGCTGGCTGGCTTTTGTAAGTATGATTTTAGTAACCTGAAGCGAGAGAGACTCCATCAAGCGGACATAATCAGCGGTGGAACACCAAGCGGGAAGATAAAAGGCGTCGCATATCTTGTTGAGCAGAGTTTGCTCCCACGGCTGCAGGGATTCTTCGCCCGGCTTGAGGTCCCGGTGGCACCATGTCACTATTATTATAGTGCCTCCGGGGGCTGCTACTCTAGCCAACTCACTCACGAACTGCAATGCAAGCAATGTATTCCGTTTCAATATTACCAGTTCACTAACAAAAGCAATTGTATTTTTCTTTTTGATCTAAAAACAAAGAATCATTGAATCTTTGATGATGCGTGTGCGTGCGTGTGTTGGATGTTGATGAACCTTAGATTTGTCAGGCATGTGCTCGCCGCTCTCCATGGACCAAACGAGATCGAATTTCCCATCTGCAAAGGGTTGATCCAGAGCATCTGCAACTTGGAAGGACACCTGCTCATCATCAATCAATTATGATTCAAGATTTTGAACGAAGGAGAATGGATATTAGTTGCGTTGGTGGAAACTGGAATAGGGTACCTGAGGAGACAAGGACTGAGATGAAGCAAGAGCATTGGCCCTTTGGGCTTGGACAGGGCTAAGAGTGATGCCTTTGCATTTGGCCCCGTACTTGGAAGCTATGTACCTGGAGCTCCCTCCGATCCCGCATCCAACATCCACCACATTCTTTGGCTCCTCTGACCAACCATGAACCGACCATAGCATATCATCGGATAATATATTGTATAATAATACTTAGTAGCAGTAGGTAAGGAAAGAAGACGAAAATGAAAAAGAAGAAAGAAGAAAGAAGAAGAGAGCACAGAATAGGCATATATATATATATATGTGTGTGTGTGTGTGTATGTATATATATGTATATATATGTATGTGTAAAGTAGAGAAGTACCGGGAAGAGAAGCGAAACGGAGGGCCTCGTCGATCATGCGGATCTGGGCGGGGCGGTGGTCGGAAAGGGAAACAGAGGAATCGGGGTCGTAGAAGCCGTGATGCATATGGTCACCCCAGATGTTCTCCCAGAGAGTGGAGGACTCGTCGTAGAACTCGGCGATGCCCTTCTGCAGCTGCTTCCACATGATGCCGCTGTGGTCGTCGTCGTCCAATTGCGCTTCCGTGGCAGCGGCTCTTCGCGCGCGGAGGTGGATAGACCTCTGTCTCCTCCTTGTTGTGTCTCGAAAAGAAAAGGAGGGTGGGCGGCGGAAGAGGATAGTAGTAGGGTTGTGAGATTGAGAGCAGAGGAGGAGCGTTGTTGTGCTCCAACTCATTCTCATGACGCCAACCCCCATTTTTTATTATATAACAAGAAAACCTGTGCTTACCTGCCCTGCCGATTTGTTTGTTTGGAATATAATAATAATAATAATAATAATAATAATAATAATAATAATAATAATAATGACGATTATTATTATAGTCCTTTCTCTCTCTTCCCTATCCTTTCCAACTGATGAATTTGCCACGTTCTCTTTTTGACTCCAACTATTGTGTGCTGGTATTGTGGAAGTCCGTGGAGAAGAGAGTAGAGACGCAATTAGCAAGTTAGCACCAAATTAGCCTCCCTCGATCTGGACGGATGCCATGCCATTGGCGGCTGCGTACACACCTTTCCCTTTCTTTCTTTCTTTCTTTCTTTCGTATATTGTATAGCAACAGTTTCTTATAATTCTATCTATCCCAGCCTCCTCCTCCCTTTCCTCCTCTGTTCACGTGGGCCTCCTATTTCCACGTACACACCTTTTTGGGACACTAACATTTACAACTAATTTTTGTTTTTATCATTTCCAACAAACCGATGTATCATGTATATACATATGTATTTGTTTCTGGCGACTTCCTAATCGTTCCTGCAATATATATTCTGGGAAAAAACTAATTCGGCGCTGTCTTTTTCTCTATACAATTAAATTAATATAAAAAAAGATGGAAATTACAAAAAAAAAAAAAAGTGATTTTAGAGAAACTATGATAGTTCTAATTTTTAGTTTAAATTATAAATTTTTGGGTTTAAATAATGTGAATTAAAATTAAGAGTTTGACGTGAGGTGTGAACCAACCAAAATTAAAACAAAGTGGTTTTTTTTTTTTTTAATAATTCTAATTCAAAATATTACATTAAAATTTAAATCTTAAATCTTTTCTTTCCAGAGTAAACACTGATTTTATTAGATTTTACATCTTAAAAACTATCCTTAGTCTCGTCCGAGGTTTTCTCTCGCGTCTCTTTCATTTTGGCTGTCTTCTTTAGCTTTCCCTAAACAAGTGCAAGTCCCTGGCTATTGCCTCAGAGGAGGATGAGGTGGTGGACATTGACGACTCTCTTCTCCTGGAAGGGTTTCTTGGTGGGTAAGCATGGAGGAGCATGTGGACATGGCGGGTGGGGTGAGGGTTATGGTGGACATTGACGACTCCCACTCTCTTCTCCTGTGAATTTTTCGTTTCTTCTTTAGCCACCCCTCTTCTTCCCCTATCTGTGCCCCTGAAAGAAACCATTGGCCACACGGGCGGCTGTTCGGTTTTGGATGGAAATCCAGTTACTCCGTTTGTAGAGCTCTTCTTTGTTCTTCCTCTGCCTAATTTGACTTCAGAGTGAAAGCGTTTCCTTTCAACAAAAAAAAAAAAAAAAAAAACAAAACAAAACATAATAATAATAATAATAAAAGATGGAGCCCCACATCACTCTCCACTCTCCAGTACTCATGATTTATTTTCTCCGGACTTAACAAGAGCATACTACTTTTGGTTTTTTATCCAATCTTCACCAGTAAGTTAAAATGAGGCGTGCTAAGATACAAATACAGAACAGAATTCCATAACCAATCGTCTCTCATCTCTGCGTCTCTCATGCTATGCTTTGTAGGAGGCATTGAAAATAATAGAAAAGAAAGAAGAGTTGAAAAAAAAAAATGTCAAATTTAGTATATTTTCCTATAACATCCTTACGTAAATAAAAAAAAAAAAAAGAAAATTATAAGTGATTATCAAAACAGCTATTTTGCAACTCTTTTCTTGTCAAATTTGTATCTCTTTCTTTACGAGATTGGAAAATAGTGAGCCCTATCAATTTACTTCCTCCTTCATTTTCCTCTCTACTAAACAACTAAAGATTCATTTTTCCTCTCCAAAATCCTTATTCCAATTTATTTATTCTCCTTTTTTTCATTCTACCAAACATAGGCTTACTGCAGTGAAGTAATAAGCAGGTGGGTATGACATAATTTCAGATTCGGCAGCTTCATGTGTTGCTTCTTCAAAATTAAAATAACAACTAAGAATAATAAACTTGTTTGGTAATTTATTTCAAAATTCCCAAGTCCTAAGCTTTCACAAACAGAGCCATGGGCAAATTAGGTTATGAATGATTTGATGATTGTTCAGTAGTCCACAATTTGGGTAGCTTGGAGTAGTACCACATCAAACATGAAACACTAGTATACAACAAACTAACATAAATAAGGAAGAAAAGACCAAAAAAGATATTTTGTTGGTTATAATGCACACTACTAGTGCACATAACAACCACCAAAACAGTAAACAAGAGTCAAAAACTTCATTATACATGCATCCACCACATCAAATATGTCTTTATTCCACTAATTCCACAATATATAATAAATTACAAGAAATGAGAGAAACATTAACAATTGCTTCTACAAAACATCCCACATTCCCTTCTTCCTTTTACGCCAATGACAGACTCTGGTTGAAAATAACAACAAATTCCACACAATGAATAATTAGGCATATAGGAGTGCCCAACTATGCCCAAAAAGAATCACTTCAAACAAACACATGTTCTAAACAGACATTATATATGGGGTGGGGTTGGACTACGAGTTCAACCGAGAGAATAGTGTAATTATAATACTAATCAGAGAAAAATAATGAATGGATTGGGAATAAATCTTGAAAGCAACAAGATGAACAAACACATTCAGTTACTCAATTGTCATGGGACTTGTTTTTGGCCTCCTTCAAGTAGGATTCCATCTCGTTCAACCAGAGACCAGCAAACTCACAATGCTTCCAGGCATCAAACCATGGCCCCCCTCTTGTGTAATGAACAGCCTTTGGGAAAGTGGAGGGGTCACCCTCAACAACCTTGTTGTGGCCTTCTAGAAAGTTCCAAACAAAGGGAACAGAACCAATCTCGGAATCATCGAGCCACTGGAACCTATGGAGGAAAGCCCCCGTCTGGGAATTCACAACCTCAGGAGTCAGCACCCTGTTCTTGGGATGTCCACAGTTGTACAACACCATGGACGACCAGTTCTTCCTCGGATACACCGTCTGTACGGCCCCGTCCATTTTGGTTGTCTCCTTCGGAGTATAATCGTGTTGGACGCACATTACCGCGTATTTGTCGTCGATGATGTCCGTGAGTTCCTTCATTATTATTAGTATTAATAAGACAAAACACGACCACACTTACTTAGCTACCACTTTCATATTCGTACATGATATGATAGATACATTATTTATTTATCCAAAAAGAGTGTGTTGAGAGAGTTCAAACCTTAATGTCGGCAAGGTAGAGGAAGTCGCAGTCGACGAACATGGCCCAGCCGTGGTAATTAGCCAAAGCGGGAGTCAGGAAGCGAGAGAAGGAGAACTCGGTGCTCTCCAATTGGCCTCTTTCGCGCCAATAGAGCCCCTTCTTCCTCAGATCAGACTGTTTTATGGGACAGATCTCCACGGGGATCGAAGCGCGCTTCAAGATGGAGTAGCGGCACACCTCGTAGGCCAGATCCTCACGCGTGTCGTACCCAACGAAGATCTTGAACGCCTTCACAACCTTTTTCTGGTCGTTTTCCGTCACTGGGTGAATCTTCCCGTCGTTTGAACCCATCTTCTTAGCTTAGCAGCTACCTCAACAAAAAAAAAAAAGAAAAAAAAAAGAAAGAAAGGAATTTGCGTCAAAATCTTACATTTAATAAACCACTCCTCTTTCTTTCATTTCTTGCGACTGAAATTCTTAGACGAAATATAATATAATGCATCCAAGTGAATTTGACTCGAATCTTATCGGCTCAACGGAGGAAAATTTCAAATTATGTGAAAAATCAATAAACAAAAGAAAACATCTTTCTTTGATTTCTTGGAACGAAATTTAAAGGATATTTCATTAGAAGGACAATTCATTTTAATAGAAAAATAATGTAGTAAGTAAATTGATTTGATATTAAATTGGTGAATGTATAAAAGGAAATTATGCGAGAAAATAAAGAAGAAAGAAAAAAGGCCCTATTTCATTTAGAGTAGCGCAAGAAATAAAAGGTAACTAGAGAAAATTGGGGTTCTAGAGGAAGAAGAAAACGCGTAGGGGATAGGAAAGGAAAATGCGAGAAGAAGAATGGTAAAGCTAAAGTGCATTATGAATCAGATCAGATCGATAAATGTAAGAAAGGAGAGAGAGAGAGAGAGAGAGAGAGAGAGAGAGAGAGAGAGAGAGAGAGAGAGAGAGAGAGGATACCTGGAAAAGAAAAGATGATGCAGATGCAGATGCAGATGAAGAAGAAGACGAAGGGTGTTGATTCGGGAGAAAACAAAAGGTGAATGGAGGGGAGCGGAGCATTAACGGGGCTCTGAATGAATTCGATTTCTGTTTTCTTTCAATTTTCAATCTTCAATCTTCAATCTTCAAGTGGAAAAGAAAACGAGTCTCATTGCGGAGGATGGACTCTCCTCTCCTCCTCCTTCATTGATTCGGTTTTCGGACATTAATTAAAACTTAATATTTGTAGGGCCAAGAAAGGAAGCAACTAGATTCGATATTTCGTTTCGATAATTCGAAAATAATTAGAAGACGCGGGTTTACTGTAATTCGGGGGATTACCGGCTAACCTTTTGGCCTTTGGGTGTGAGCTGTCTCATTGCTATGCCTGTGCGACTGCCTCATCCTTCCCTTGTTTGTGGCCGGGTGGCCCATTGTTTTGTTTTTGTTTTTTTTGTTTTTTTTTTTTTTAACTCTTCTGTCTTCCCACCACTTCTCAATAAAAGAAAAAACGTGTGAAATATTTTCAACACTGTCGACGATTATATATGACCAAGAAAATACTTTTTAATCGTCCATAATGATAAGATATTTCTCAATGCTCAATTATACAACTTTCCTTAAATGCTCATTTTATGAAAAACCAATATCTCTTTTTTTTTTCTTTTTTCTTTTTTCTTTCTTTTGGCCAACTTTTGTGTGATGAGTATTTTAAGCTATTTATTAAATTAAAATTTTCTATTAAAAATGTGTAAATAAGTAATTTTTTCTATTTAAAAAATTGTTTTTTTCGCTCAAGACTAGAAAGTTAGTTTTATCTCGTTAAATAATATAAACAATTCGACGACTAATAACTTATAATTCTAAATATTATGCTGTTTATATGTGTACAAATATATGTTCTACTCATTGAAAAAAATTAACAAAAAAAAAAAAAAAAAACAAATTTACCTCCACCGGACCACCGACACAATTTCTTGACCCCATGTCAATTATCACCGCCAAATCCCAAAACATGTGGCCTTTTACATTTCTCAACGGTGACCACGTACTTCTTTTTCAAAGTCTTTATGTGGGACCTCTTAAAAAAAATTTATTAGTGCAACATCATATTTTTGACAGGTTTATTTATTTATTATTGATTAAGAGTATTTATGGTATGACCTCTTATAAAAATTTAGTATTTTATTAATATTTTTTAAAAATATTTTCACCGTAAAAAAAACCTAATTAATTATAAAATACGTTTCGTTGCCATCCGTGATCGTTGACTTAAAAAAGATAAAAATTCCCCTATCAAAAAAAGATAAAAATTGAGTATAAATTTGAATATGAAGATATAAATGTGTAATGATTTAGAATAAATGGCATGATTTGTTGTTAAATCTCAAAATATATAGATGACATAAAATGGAAAATTAATTAATTAATTAATGTCTTACATATAACAATACATAGAGCCTTTGGCTCTTGTAATAGTGTTCCTCCTCTCTTTTTTTTTTCTTTATCTTTTTTTCCTACTTTTTCACTTTTTTGTCATCTTTATTATTTTTCTCCTTTAAATGTTTTAATTTACTTTTTAAATTTTTTGTTTTATGAATTTTTTTACAATTCAATTTTTCATGCGAACCTTTTAAAAATAATTTTGGGTCACTGTATTTCTATGAAAATAATTTTTTTACAGGTGTTTTTATTTAATTTCTTTTTTGTCAATGGATAATTTTCTTTAGGCGGCACTTCCGCCGTCGTTTGGGTCTCAGCGCCGAAGCGAGCTCGGCTATCGCGGCGACGAGATGTAGAGAAACGGCGGCTGCTCCTTTCTTCTCCCACGATCTGCATTTCCAGCTCAATCAAACGGGCTCTACAAAGCTGTCGGCCCAATAATTAATTGACCCTTGTGAAAGTTTTAAGCCCAGCAAAAAACTTCGCCCAAATCAGTTCCTAAAATCCAATTAGCAAATTGACCTGATAAAAAAATGGATGGTTGAGATTAAATGATACAAGATGGATGGTTGAGATCAGTTTAGGTTTTTATTAATATTCTCTTTAGTAATTTCATGCATATAAAATACCCATTTTGCCTCAAATTCCGTTAGTTTTTTAACAGAAGTTAGTCAAATGGGGTTAATTACAGCAGCTCGATAAATTCGGGAATTTAATTGTTAAAATTAAAAATATATAAAGTAATTTATTAAATCACAATAAATTTAAAAAATAAATGTGTTAAAATCCTTTTTTTTACGGCCTTCACACAGAGCACTTTTCAGGCTTTCATTGTTTGAGAGTATTAAATATGTGTGTTTTTTTTTTTACTAAATATAAAATGTGTTTCTAACAGTAAATAAAATAAATACGGATTGAGGATCAAAAAGGAGCTTTAAGATGAAAACGGAAATGAATTGTTGGTGGTAACCACATTGATATAGTACAGACGAGACTAGAGTGAAAACGAAAAAAAAAAAAAAAGAAAAAAAAAGAATTATTAGTACAAATAGTTCACAATTTATTTAATAAGTCACAGTTTAGTCTCTAACATTTTTTTTGATAAATCAACCTACAGTCATTTAAAACATATGCAACTTAGTCATTTTTATCAAGATCCGTCCAAAAATTAACTGAAGAAGATCACGTGACCCCTTAACTTAAGATATATGTGTAAAAACACATCCTTGATTGATTTGAGGGTAGTTTATACGGTGGAAGGATGATTCAAACGTAGATTTCGGCGCCATTCGACATCTAATCCTCTAGTAAGTGGTGGCTTTAGACTCCTCTCATTGAGCTGAATAAATCCATTACCAAGTTTACCGTAATTGGTCGTCGGAATAGTTTTGATTATTTCCGGTTAGATTTTCAGCAACTTCATCTTTAGTCACCAGACGAGTTTAAACAGGTAATTTCATCTTTCTACTAATAATTTAGGTCACGTGGATAGTCATATGGATTTTTCTAATTAGCTTTTAAACGTACCTCGATGAAAATAATCAGATTGCATTTATTTTAAAGGGTTGGGGTCGATTTGTTAAAAAAAGTTAAAACGAAACTGTAACTTATTAAAAATGTTGATGACCATTTATGCCAATAACAAAAACAAAAAAAAAAAACAAAAAAAAAAGAGAAAGGAACGGCATTCATTGGCGTTGGATTTGGGATCGGAGAAGAGAAGAGAAGAGAGGAGAGATGGGATCGGAAGGAGGAGGGTGGGGATGGGCGATATACGAGGGGACGGTGGCGATAGGGTCGTTGTGTGGGCTGGGGTGGACCGGACTCTGGTTCTTGAATCGGCGTCTCTACAAAGAGTACGAGGAAAAGCGCGTCCTTGTTCAGATCATATTCAGCGTCGTCTTCGCCTTCTCTTGCAATCTTCTTCAGCTCGTCCTCTTCGAGATCATTCCTCTTCTCTCCAAACAGTCTGTCGCATACTACTACTACTATAATCTAATCTGCCCTTTTTCATTCCTTATATTTCGTTATTACTTTTAATTTATCAATCAATTAATTAATGAATGAATATTCGTAGGACGCGATGGTTGAACTGGAAGGTGGATTTGTTCTGTTTGATACTGTTGCTGGTCTTCATGCTGCCTTATTATCATTGTTACTTGATGCTCTGCAACTCCGGTAACTCTACTTCATTTCTTTCAATCGATTCAGTCATTTGATTCATTCAATTCAATATTTATCGTCGTAATGTATTCTTTTTTTTTTTTAATATTGTGATGAGATATAAATTAATATAGTATGATATTATACGCTCTCTGTCTGTTTATCATCTCAATTCTCAGGTGTTAGAAAGGAAAGGGCTTGTCTGGGAGCACTAGTGTTTGTGGTGGCTTTCCTTTATGCTTTTTGGCGAATGGGCATTCACTTCCCTATGCCTTCCCCTGATAAAGGTCAAAAAAAAAAACCTCGTCTTTCTTTACTAATACTATTACGCTTTTGTATTGTATTATATCATCAAGTTTAAGATCATACAATGCAATCATACAATGCAATATACACTTTTTCTTTTTTTAATTTAATATAAAAAAGTTGTGTTAAATCTTAATTGTTGTGCAGGTTTCTTCACCATGCCTCAATTGGTTAGTAGAATCGGCGTCATTGGTGTTACCGTTATGGCTGTCTTGTCTGGTTTTGGAGCTGTCAATTTGCCTTACAGTTACCTCTCTCTCTTCATTCGGTACTCACTCAATTCTTTCTTTCATCTATTCTTAATTTTTATTATTACCATTATCATCCTTACATTATTACTATTATTAATTCACTTGGTTGTTCCAGAGAGATCGAAGAGTCAGAAATTAAGGCCTTGGAAAGACAACTCATGCAATCAATTGAGACTTGTATTGCAAAGAAAAAGAAAATCATTCTTTCTCAAATGGAGATGGACCGTATTCAGGGATCCGAAGAGGTTCACTCCCTTTAACTATTAACTATATGCTCTCTTCTCATTCTTCTGTTATTATTCTTCTCTAGTTATTTACCAAAACTATTTTCAGTCTTCTATTTAGGAAGTATGTGTTCTTCAATTTCTGCTACCAAAAAGAAAAGAAATGTATCTTGCTCATTCAAAGTTATATATTGCAGAAATTAAAGGCCGGATCTTTCCTCAGACGAATTGTTGGTACCGTTGTCAGATCCGTGCAAGACGACCAAAAGGAGCAAGGTTATGACTGTTGATTTACTCCTATTCGTTATGTGGGCCTTTGTTTAATGGCTAAACGTTATTTGAACACTTTGGCTGATAATATAAATCCAACGGAATTAGGCCTGCACAAATTTTTGTGTTTTAACTTTGAGATATCATTGTGAGTGAGCTGGTCAATCTACTGTATTCATTGTCTTATGTCCTTTTCTTTGTTTGCTAACTATGTCGTATCTCTCTCTCTCAAGATATTAAAAGCATGGAAGCAGAGGTGCAAGCACTAGAGGAGCTTTCAAAGCAACTATTCTTGGAAATCTACGAGCTTCGCCAAGCCAAGGTTCGCTATAGGAATTATGCCTAGGAGTTTATATTTGAAATGTCAATATTGCTTTTGTGCCTTGTATTCTTACACTCTAGGCATTTGATGGGATTTTGCTATGTAAGGGTTAGGCGTCATCGTATTATCTGTGGCTCATGGAGCACTTGAGGCATTAGGGAAATCTCAGCGTAGGTGTCAATACAATAGCTGAGGTGCAGGTGCTAGCGTGGGTAATATTGGTCGAAATGGTTAAGAAGTGATTTCATGGTTATTCTCTGCTGATATCAAATGATAGCTTATATGGGCGAAGAATGCGTACGAAGCATGGATAGGGTTTTTATACTTTAAAGAGAAATTCATGACAATGCATTGGAGAGTAACAATATGTTATGACATAGTAATCTAGTAAAAATGGTAGCTCCAGAATCAAGTATATGACTGAAATTATGAGAAGATTGTTAAAAAGAGTGAATTCTATGAGTATGAACTATTGACAATAAGAGAGTAAAGTGAATTTTTCGGAGTTATACGATTTTTCTAAATTCTTGCCCTCTTATTTCTAAATCTGTGCCGGATTCAACATGGATCATGATGCTTTTGCTACATTACTTAATACTTAGCGGTGACATCCCAGTGGCTTCCGAGGTAAAATCTAGTTTGGTATAAAATTCACTCTTTATTTGCAGGAGGCTGCGGCTTATTCTCGGACATGGAGGGGTCACATGCAGAATCTACTCGGTTACGCATGCTCGGTGTATTGTGTGTATAAAATGATTAAGGTATGGACCTGTTGTTCTAATTAAGGCTTTTTTTTTTTTTTTAAAAAAAAAGTTGTGAAACTGTTTGGCTAGTATCTCCCTTTTCCCAAACTTGATAGCAATCTTTGAGTAAGGTGGCTGATTGATCTGATTGCGTTTTGCAGTCCTTGCAAAGTGTTGTCTTCAAGGAGGTATTACTTTTCTAACTCCACTATTCTATTGTACAATATATTTCATCTTATGATTTTAAGGATACACTCTTTTTATTGTACAAGAAATTGCAATTTTTTTTTGGCAGGCTGGTTCAGTTGATCCTGTAACGATGACAATTAGCATATTCTTGCAGTTTTTTGACATTGGAATTGATGTGGCATTGTTATCACAGGTTAGTTGTGAATGCCGTTTTGTGATTAACTTGTTTGTGGCAACGATAGCGTTAGTTGTTGAATCATATGATTAACTTGTTTGGATGTTTCTGATTAGACTATTTTGTGTGTTTTGACACTGCTTTTCCATCTTGGTACAGTATATTTCGCTCTTATTCATTGGAATGTTGATCGTTATATCAGTACGTGGTTTTTTGACAAATCTAATGAAGGTAAGCATTGTTGCTTTTGAAAATTTGGCTTTTCTTTGACCATCTTATTGGCTTCTTACATCCCGTGGCTTGATGTTTCTTTCTGTGCATAGTTCTTTTTTGCAGTTTCCAGAGTTGGGAGTGGATCTTCAAGCAATGTTGTATTGTTTCTCTCTGAAATCATGGGAATGTACTTCGTTTCTTCCATCCTTTTGATAAGAAAAAGCTTGGCAACTGATTACCGGTACATTATCGTTTGGAACCATTCTAGATTCTTTTTTCCTATTATTCTCTGATAATTATAGACTGGTTGCTATCTGTGTCAAGTAGTGCTAATTATTCTGATATAGTAGCAACCTGAAAAATATCCACTAGTGCAATTTGCTCAGCGGAAACATGCTTCAATAGACTTGGAAGCATGGCTACAGGAATACCAGAAGTTTCCCCCAACATATTTTTAGCAAAGAAACAGTATCACTTTTAACGTGTGAAATACCTTACGTTTACATTCTTGAAGCTTCTAACCGCCAAACGGTTGAATAGGATCTTTATCATGTCCTCCAGGAAAGTACTGGTCTCTATTTCATAGTCGTCATTCATCTAACTTTAATCATTTAAAAAATTTGTTTGAAAACGTCAGTTTCATAACATTAATAATATTGAAGGTACATTAATTAGGGAGTAACTATGTTGTGTGGAATTAACCCCACCCCCTTTTTTCTTTTTCTTTTTTCTTTTTTCTTTTTCTTTTTTCTTTTTCTTTTCTCTTGCTTGAAATATCTGACTGTAGTACTGTACGTGATATATAGTCATCCGATATTAACTTAAACATGTATCTAGCTTGGATATTCTGATAAAAGAGTAAAAAGACTAAAATAATGCAATAGGAAATTTCTGTGGAAGAATGAATGCTATTTATTCTGCATGTTTGACTTGAAGAAAGGAGCAAGAATGAACAAAGCCCTTCTTTTATATTGTTGCGTGACATTCTTCATTTAACTTGTATTCATGCAATATTTTGCATTTCATAGTGTTTTGAGTCTAGTTCAGAGAGCTTGGAAACAAACTGAATCAATTGCAGTTGCCAGATTAAGACAATGCCTTAATCATTGATCTCTTGGCAGGATCATCATAACAGATGTACTGGGTGGCGATATCCAATTCGACTTTTATCACCGGTGGTTCGATGCAATATTTGTGGCTAGTGCTTTCCTTTCGCTGCTTTTGCTTTCTGCGCATTACACATCTCGGCAGGCTGACAAGCACCCCATTGATTGATTCATGTGATTCAATTCCAAGTATGTGACTCCTCAATTGTGTTTAGGTTTGAGCACTGCTAATCTACTATACATGTGGTAGTAGAGTCAGAAAAATAAAATTAAAACAAGTAACTGCTATTCATAATTTTCCGTAACTGTCTCAACCACTCTAGTACGGACTATAAATTTTTAGGCCCCGTTCATTTCACCGATTCAAGTTTAAAATTTGAGTTTTACTCCAGTAAAAAGCTCTCAGAAACAATCACATCTAACTTTTTTACTACAGTAAAAAGCTCTCACATAAAGTCATATCTCAACTCGAATTAGCGAACTAAACGGGCCTTTAGTTGACTCTATTTTTATTATTTTTTATTTTTTTTAATAAATAGGTGAAACAACATACTGGTAATTATACTTATAAAACGTTCCTAAAAGGCTTTTAGAGGCTGGAAAGGAATGAGAGCACCAGATGAAGCTTTTGAAGGCAGAATTCATACTATGTTCTGTTGCTATCAAGGGATTACAAACAAGGAAGAAACCACGCAACTTTAGTTTTTATTTTTTTAGGGGGGGGGGGGGGGGAATAAAGGAAGGAGAATGGGGGATATAATGTCCAAAAGGAACGTACGGATTGGGGTTTTGTTATATGACACACCTAATTGTGTAAATTCTTATTTTGCTCTTTGGTTTACTAAGGAAGTTTGTGTACATTCATTTATGAGAGAAAAAAGAAATGAGATTTTCTACATGTATGATCAAATATTACATTCAATGGAAGTCAATATTGATGGCTGCGGGACTTCTTTTTTTTTTTTTTTTTTTGTGAATTGTGAGTGTGTGTGTGTGTTTTAATAAAGAAAAGCTAATAGGGAAAAGGAATTGTATAACTGAAATTACATATAGCAATATTTGTAGCATTATATTATACGAAAATAGTAAAAAATAGGTCAATATAAAAAGTTTAAGAAAGTATATAAGTAAATTTTTAGTTATAGAAATTAATAGGTCATAACTTGTCAAGTTATGGTTCATAACCAGATAAGTTATGAATAAATTTGTCAAGTTATGGTTCATAGCCAGACAAGTTATGGACAAAAATAATGAATTATGGACAATAACTTGTCAAGTTATGGTTCATAATCAGACAAGTTATGGACATAAACAGTAATTTGGTCTATTTATTAACTTATGTAAACTATTGGCATATTAATTTTAATTCATCTCAAGTCTTGGCCTATTTCTCTTTTTCTCCTTATATTATTAGTGTTGCTGAAGGCTAAGGCTTGACGGCAGCCCACACATGACATGAGTTTGCCTTTTCTATTTGTAATCGCTATTACCTGCAACTTTACCTGTTCTAGTATTATTCGCGGGTACATAAAGCTTGTTTAGTTCATGCGTTTAAAATCATAATTCTTATTCTATTATTGTACTTTTTGTTCATAAAAAAATTGAATAAAAAAAGTTTCCGTCAATGGATTTTCTTATAAAATTTAAATTTAGAATTAAAATTACCGACTTAAAACGTGTGAATTAAATGAGTCATATCAAATCTCGACTCTTATGACTAATGTTAGAGATATTAACTCAAATTCTAACTCTTATTTACCAATTGATGTGATATATGAGTCGTCATCTTTATATTGGTGGTTATTTAAAACAGTCACGTCAATTAAAGATAAGAGATTACATTTATTAATAAAATATGACAACTTACGTGTCAATAGGTACATAATAATTAAAATTTAAGTTGGTGTTCTAACATTATTCTATTATTATTATTATTATTATTATTATTTCCATCATAACTGCTAATTAACTAGTAATATAATACGCTCTCTTTATTAAAAAAAAAATAACAGATTGAAGTAAAAATGGAATTCACGTCTCACTACGAACTTAAAAATATATGTAGATATTAAAAACGAGGAGAAGAAATAGAAAGGCTTGTCATGATTTTTTGTAGGCTTATTATTTATACGCAATGAGAAAATTGTAGATTTTATGTCCTTGCACTCAGCAAACCACAAATATGAAATTTGTTTAACGCTCAAAAGTGTCGAATATATTGTTCACTGATTTTATGGAATGTTTGCTTATGGAATGTTTACTGATTTTATTCATGTTCATCCATGTGTGTTGATTGATTATTTCTATTTTTGACTGACCATCAACTATAGGATACAAGACTTAGATTAATATTTGGAAGGTTAATTTGAGTTGAATCTAACATGGATGACGCAAGTTCAATATTCTTGTTTAAGTTTATTGATTTGTGAATGATATATGAATATATTGTTCATCTTGCATAACCTATTGAAACCGGTATTGAAGTTTGCATTCTGAGAACTAGATACACATAGGAATATTGATGCAGAGCATATTCTGTTTACTCTATGTGGCTGAACTGTTTGATTTGCCTATTGTCAATTCCTCTTGTGGCTTGAAGTTAATTGTCGTTTGAGTCTATTTTGTGTCGTTTCTTTGCTAGCTAAAACACAGACTTATCTTTCGTTTAATGTGTTACTTTTCAGCTATAAATAGCTGATTGTCAGACTCTTAAGAATTAATGAAGTATTATTGAAATTTCTCACAGGTTGATTTTCTTCTTGTTTATTGTTATCCCTTGTTTTTAGGGTTGGGTTCTTGTGACTTTACCCATATGGTTTAGCTAGAGAAGTCTCATAGCTGCGGCTGCATCATTTGGTATCAGAGCTGAGGCTTTCCCAAAGCATGGTCGCCACCGGTGAGTCTAGCCTTCCCAGGAGTGAAGATGAAGAACGAGGTATACCTACTCTTTGGGCTGCCATGGAGAAACTTGACCAGAAATTTGAAACCCGCTTCAATATCCTCTCACGGGACTTAAACCGAGTCCTGACCCACCTCGAAGGCACCGCGACGAACTAGCGACGGGATCCCCCACCTCCGCGAAAGCAAGTGACCGCCCGAACCCCACCACCGTTGAACAGAGAGTTGTGACCCCGAAGACTTCCCAAGTTCGTTGCCGACCTTGAAGAACTTGAGATGGAGAACACGGCTGCAGTGCCACCACCTCGGCCTACCGCACCACCGACTCAAGCAAGACTAGCCAATCTTGAGGGTGAAGAGGATTTTGCGCCCTGGCTTGCTCGGGGTACTAGGTATGGCCTACGGAACCCTCCTTTTAATGGTGAACGGAACTCAGATTTTAGGCTGAAAATGGAACTCCCTGACTATGATGGCCACATTGATATTGAGGATTACCTTGATTGGGAACATAAGGTTGACTCCTTCTTTGAGTACATGGCTGTCCCGAAAGACAAAAAGACGAAGTATGTAGCCTCTAAACTAATAAAAAGGGGCTATTGCTTGGTGGATTTCAGTGAGTAAAAATAGAGACAGGGACGGAAGACCACCGATTTGTTCTTGGGCCTTTATGAAATAATTGTTGCAACAACGATTTCTGCCCAACGATTTTGAACAGACTCTCTATCGGCAATTCCAGCGAAGCTTGCAACGATGCCGTAGTGTTGGGGAATACACGGAGGAGTATTACCGACTGAGTGCTCGCAATAACCTTCCAGAGTCAGAGGACCAACAGGTAACTCAGTACGTTGGAGGACTGAGGGATTCAATCCAGGACAAGCTCACCCTGCAACCCATTTGGAGCTTGACTCATGTTGTCACTATGGCCTACAAGGTTGAAGCATAACAAACTCCCAGCCGAGGTCGAGTCTACTCAGACTAGAAACCCACTGACTTCAGTCTAGACAAGGGAGGAGCGAGCGAACATCTGCAACGACAGGGAAAATCTCCTCTAGAGGCCCCAAAGGCTGCCAACACCGGGCAGCTCCCTTCAGTTCAACAGAAGCTCAACCCTTACGCTAAACCAATCGTGGGAAAATGTTTCCGATGCAATAAACCAGGGCATCGTTCCAACGAGTGCCCGCTTCAAAAACTCGTGACTCTCATTGATGAACTTGGAGTTCAGGAAGAAGAAGAAGACGGGATTGAGAACTACAGTGAGGAACCCGCAGAGGTTGAACAAGTATTCGGTGACGAAGGAGAAAGGGTTGTTTGCATAGTCCAAAAGCTTTTACTCATGCCGAGGGAGCCGGTTGTTAACCAGCGACACTCAATTTTTTGAACTCATTGTACAATGAGTATGAAAGTGTGTGACCTTATTATAGACAGTGGCAGCAGCGATAATTTAGTCTCTAAAGCGCTAGATAAGGCCCTTAACCTTCCCACGGGGAAGTATCCTCGACCCTATAAGATAGGATGGATTAAGAAAGGGGTTGAGGGGGAAGTATCCTCGACCCTATAAGATAGGATGGATTAAGAAAGGGGTTGAGGCATTGGTAGACACAATCTGTAAGGTGCAATTGTCAATTGGTAGGCGTTACCAAGACATAGTGACTTGTGATGTTATAGATATGGATACCTCACATATTTTACTAGGTAGATCTTGGGAGTTTGATGTGGATGCCAAGCACGACGGACGGGCCAATATCTATGAATTCATTTGGAATGGCAAGAAGATAGCCTTGATGCCGTTGCCCCATCTGGAGATTTCAGCTGGCCCAAGTACTCATACTGGCTGAATATTCCTTACTGCCCCGGGAAGGCCTTCCGAGCATGACGTGCGGTCCGCCGGGTTGGTTAAAGCTTTAATAGCAAAGGGGACAACCACAAGCGACCTCGCGGCCCCTGTGGATGTGCAGAATTTGTTGAAAGAATTTAAGGATTTGGTTCCCGAAGAGTTGCCCGAAGAACTCCCGCCAATGCGAGAGATCCAACATCGCATTGACCTCATTCCAGGAGCGAGCCTTCCTAACTTGCCGCATTACCGAATGAGTCCTCTTGAACATGAAACCTTACAGAAGATGGTAGAAGACATGTTACAGAAGCAGTTCATCCGTCCCAATCTTAGCCCATGTGCCGTACCAGCCCTCCTCGTCCCTAAAAAGGATGGGAGTTAGAGAATGTGTGTCGACAGTCGCGCCATCAACAAAATCACCGTCAAGTATCGATTCCCAATCCCTCGTCTCGAGGACATGCTTGACAAATTAGAGGGGTTGAAGATTTTTTCCAAGTTGGACTTGCGGAGTGGTTATCATCAAATTAGAATTCGGCCTGGCGATGAATGGAAGACCGCTTTCAAGACGCGTGAGGGGTTGTACGAATGGCAAGTGATGTCGTCCGGCCTTTGCAACGCACCAAGCACGTTCATGAGGCTCATGAACCAAGTTCTTAAGCCTTTCATCGGGAAATTTGTGGTTGTTTACTTTGATGACATACTCATCTATAGCAAGGATCCTTTTGAGCATGCAGGACAACTTCGGGATGTATTGAAGGCATTACGGGAGCACAAATTCTATGTCAACCTTAAAAAGTGCGAATTTTGTACTAAAAAGTTGCTCTTTTTGGATTTTGTGATCAGTGAACAGGGCATTGAGGCGGACGCACGGAAGGTTGAAGCCATCTGCAATTGGCCCACACCAAGCACCGTGCACGACGTCCAGAGTTTCCATGGGCTAGCAACTTTCTATAGGAGATTCATTCGCAATTTCAGCTCCTTCATAGC